TCAGTTTTAGGTACAATCCATGCCTCTTCTTAGTATGTGGGCAGGTTTTCAAATACCTATATAGTTTTTTCACGTGTGAGGAAATGTTTCTGTGCTTAGAAATTAACTATACAATAGTTTTTCATTACAAATATGGTGTTTACCAAAACCAGGCTGGAGGAGACTGAGGGGAGACCTCATCACAGTCTACAGCTTCCTCAAGAGGAGAAGTGGAGGGGCAGGGACCAGTCTTTTCTCTCTGGTGACCGGACCCATGGAAACGGCTTGAAGCTGTGTCAGGGGACACTCAGAACCTAATAAAGGGTTCTTTACACAGAGGGTGGTTGGGCATGGTAACAGGCTCCACAGAGAAGTGGTCACAGCACCAAGCCTGACAGAATTCAAGCGTTTAGACAATGCTCTCAGGCCCATGGTGTGACTGTTGGGGCTGTTCCGTACAGGGTCAGGACTTTGATTATCCATGTGAGTCCCTCCCAACCCAAGATATTCTGTGATTCTGTGATTCAGGTTATTTTCAGGCAATGAGTGTCTCTTCTCCCATAATCATTCCAAACCAGCACTGGACCTTTTGCTAAATACTTCAGTTGGATTTACTGTAAACCTGACAACCAGACGATTAGAATACTTCTGTTCTCCCCCCAGTTTATTGTCACAAGTAACTGGAGCTACATAATCTACTGTTAGAACCAATACTGACATTTGAATATTTGCCTTTCCTAGAGAAATTCAGTGATTAAAAAACTAAGGCATATTTAAGAATGGAAGTGCTGAACATGCTTGATGCACCAACCTACCACCATAAACAAGGTTGCCCTGAAAATATCCCACTGGAATACCACATATTACATTTTCCTATGAAATCTGGTGAGTGAACAATCAATATACACAGCATACTTTGGCTTCTCTAAATGTATCTGTAATGAAACCTAGAATACATTATAAGCAGCTAGCATTAAGCATGAATGTCTCAGAACTATTTAAATTAGATGTGATCTTCAGTCCAACCCACACAATGAAATTAGTCAGTTCACTCATGAAGGCTGAGGACTGAGAAAGGTAATGATCTTTTTGTTTCTTCACCTAACAGAATTGAGTAACAGCCCTACATGATTTGGGGGGTCCTTTTTAACTGCAGACCCTGAAAACAGTTTGGGGTTTTTTTTCACGTAGGATATGGGACTCCTTGTGTTAACCTGGGCTCTGGATGACTAACCCTACAGCTGACACAAACAGATGTTTTTATTTGTTTAAACTATTAGGTCAAAGGGCTAATGAGCTAATGAAAATTCTTTCAGGAGCTATCAAATGAGGCATGATTAGCTGGTTTTCAATTCCGGTTTATATGAAACAAAAGAATTAAAAAAAAATTATCAGTTTAAAAATCTTTGATTTCATTCCTAGTCTTGGTTACAAGGCAGATTTAAAAATAGTAAAATGGAAAAAACATACCTCAGTAGCTCAGTAGAATCAGCAACTCCAGTCTGGCTCCGCGGTGCTATACTTCCATCAGCTGTTAAACTTGCATTGTCAGAGCATCTTCTACTTAAGTAGTGTTTGATAGGGTAACACTGAGTTGTTTCAAAAATCTTTTATTTTTCCCAGAGTATATTCTTTGCTCAACTTCTGTAGCTTTTGTTTAGTATAAGTGCTTGACCATGTCATTTATTTAAAAATAATTTCTAGTCATATAAACATGTCTTTCAATTTAATGTTATGGAAGAATTCTATAAAGATTATTCCAACCTCTGTTTCACCAATAAACCTGCAATACCATTTATATATATATCCAGAGTAATGACATCTTGCTTTGAAAAAAATCAATTTTTGAAAGTTTCTATTTCGTATGTATGTGTGTGTAAATGTGTAACTACATGTTACTAAATGTGTAACATATGATGTAGCAATGATTTATACAGGAATATTTGTTTACACGTATGGGTAAATAATTTACCTTGACCATTCCAAATCAAGGTAATATGCCATACTCCCAAGTTAGCTACTTTCTCAAGAAATCAAAGCTTATCAACTCAATTCTACACAGCGTTTATTTTTTTTTTTTTTTTTTTTTTTTTTTTTTTGATAGTGGAAATTATGTATAAATCACAAACAGTACAAGTTCCCCATGTCAGCAGTTGACCACTTGATAGAGTCAACTTCATGTATAGACACTGTATTTTTAGTATAAAGTCAAGATAATATGGCAGTTAACTAATACTTTTTGACTACAGAAAAGATACAAACTTTTGTAATATAAATTAATTGCCATTACAAAAAGGCAACTGTATTAAGTAATACGGTACAAAAATCTGCAACTTCTATAAATATAATGAAATGCAAGAAGTTAAATGAAATAATACATCACAGATTTTTGTACAGCGCATTTGAATAGGCAAGCTGAGATACACGTGGAGCATTATACAGCAAGAAAGAATATCAAAACCCACTAAGATTTAACTTTTTATCCATACAAATGCTAGAAGTACAAGTACAGGACACGACATGGAAGTAGTAAGATTACCAGCTCAGAGTGGGTAGACAAAGAAGTCTTACTGATGAGTTGTAAAGCATTATGCAGCAGACAGAAGGTTGTCAAAACCAGCTGTTGTTGGATACTGATTGATAATGTTTTCACTCTGACGGCTGAGACACTGCAGACAGCCACAGGTCTGAGAAGCCCAGTGTGGGCACACACACGTACACACACATACACACACAAAGTAATTTAACAGATGGCTAAAGAACATTAAAGCACAATATCTTTTTAAAAAAGAAAATGTTCACTCCTTAATGAACTTGCAAGTAAAGTAGAGCCTAGTGCCCAAGTTTATTCCACCTAAATGATGAAAACATTTGAAAAGATTAAAAAAACCAAACCAAAACAAACCAACAAAAACTGAAGCAATTGAGATTGGTTAACAGAATGAAAACTGCACGGTGCTTACATATTCTACCAAGCCAGAGCATTCAACAACACTATAGACAAGGAAGTATGACATGAGCTGCTGCTATGAACGTTTTTATCCCCTCATAAAAAGGTGAAGTTGTTTATAGACATTAAAAAGGTACACATCTATAAAGTCCATCTACAACACAAACCCACAGAAGTACTACATTCAAAGTAAAGTTAAGTGTTGGTTTTAGCCTTCAGCCATTATGAGGTATTGTTTCAATCTGTGGTGAGGAATGATTGCTGTATTAGTAAGAAAAAGCATACTTAAAATAATTCGGTAAATCAAAATCACTGCTTCTGTGCAGTTGACATTTGCCTAAGTGGCCAGTGGCATATGCCAGAACCATATTCTCATCAATGTATTGGGCCTTTTTCATGTTAGTTATGTAGCACCTTCTAACAGTGCATATCTGGGAGATCATGACCAAAATGTAACTTGGAAACACTAAAGTTTTAGGACCAACTGATGGTCTTTCTACTGATGGTAGAAATAATTGAAGTTTCAAGAACGCAATATGGTTGGGCTTATTTTCATTTCCTGTAACTTTTGGTCCATAACTAAGGGAAAGAAGGGGAAAAACAATTAAAAAAATGTTATTTCACATCTTCTAACTAATGGCCAATAAAAAAGAAGTAAAAGCTCTGAATCTCCCATTTTGCCTCCCCAGACTGCCTGCCTTCTCTGGGAAGTAATTTTCCCATACCTCCTTACCACTTACTTGTCATTGTCTCTAAACAGGACAGAAATTTGGGGACCTTGTGGAAATCGGAGGACTCTGTAGTCTCTAATCTCACGTCAGTTAAGAGAGAGTTTGGAATTGTAAATTAGATCCAGTTGCTCTTTAAATCCAGGGAAAGGAATCTCCTTAACCCATACAAGAGAAACTGATGGGCAGATGGGCCCCGACTAGAGTGCATAGAGAGAATTGAACCAAAGCAGTGTACTCTGTGCTTCAAAATGATCAATTCCAGTTCTTGGTTATTTCCAAGAGTATCAGGAGTGAGACGATTGACCTGGTAGGAAAGAGAATAAAAAAACAAAGCAAGAAGATGCCCTTCAGGCTTTCTGCCTATTCTATCTCAAAATGAAACAAGGAGTTTATCAGTTTTCCCAGCTTCTTTCTGATAACAGGAACCAAGTTAAAACAGTGGGAGCAATGCAGGAAATCCAGGGAAATTGAAAAGTAAACAAAAATACCTATTAAAACATTTTGTTTAACAAAGAGTATAATTGCAAGTAATAGAAAAATGGCTTTTAATGAGCCTTTAAAAGCTGATCTTTGCTATTTTCTTATCCCCAAATAAACTAATGAGAAACTACAATAAACATTAAACAAAAAATAAATGCTCAGAGTGGAAAGACAGGCTGCTTAAAGGCCTGAAAAATGGCTTTATAAGTTTCAGAACACAAGCAGAATCAATGAGAAACTAATGACACATCACTACAGTTTGTGTTTGCAGACACTCATGCACGAAGGTAGCTGAAAGTGCAAGGCACAGCATTCAAGGTGTGCACCAGTCCATCAACTGATCTCCACATCCCCTGCTGTCACTGACTCAGTGGTGAACCGGTGGCCTGGCACATTTCTTTAATGGAAAAATTGGGTTATAAAGTTTTAAAAAATCAACACAAGGCAGCGAAGATACTGCAAATCTGGGGAAAATGTGGAAAGAGGAAATGTGGACTGTGCTACTCAAACCAAATGGGCTTTTTTAAAATGTATTACAAAGGTTGTTTTCCAATGAATACTTTTTTGTCTTCTAAGTAACACTTAGCCCAGAGGAAGCCTGAAAGAACAAGACATAATCCCCTTGAAAAGACAAGTACAAACATTGGAAGACCCTTAATTGTGGTATAGATGCCTTGGCAATGTTAAAATAAAAGTAGTAGTCTAGGAATGGGTGATAAAGGAAGCAGTCCTTATTTCAAACAACTCATGCTTCTAACTAGTAATAAAGACTCCACAGATGAACTAACAGACATTTACCTTGCTTTTTTTACGGAAAACTACTTTCAATGCGAATTATTCCTTTATCCAACTTTTGTATATTTCTAAAAAAAACCTTTTTACATAGATCACCTGTTTATGTCACCTACTTTCCCCAAATACTGTTATCTGTGCACATCTGCTTATTAATTCTCTTTTCAGGAAACTGTTCTGCCTTTGGCAAGGTTATGCAGTGATTTTAAAAGAGGACTCAACTAACTTGTCAATTGTGTTTTCACTTAGTAAAACCTCAGGAATAACCTTTGCATTAACAGGAAACTCCTTGCCTTTTAGGTATCCTAGGTTCTCAGTGGCTGTGCTTTTCCATACTGTGAGGTCAGTAAACAAGCTAATACAAATTAAACCCACAAATCCTTTAGACATTAGTTACTTTTTAAAATCCAAGGTAACACATGGAATTCTTCCTTTACAGAGTAGGTTATTTTTGTGCGAGTAGAATTCCCTACCAAGGATGATTGCAAAGCAAGAAAGCAACATGCAGTGTGCAGAAATAGTGGTAAACAAAGAGCAACTTCCTACTTCAGTAGTGTAGACAACATTACCAGAAATAGTTGTGTACCTGACTCACAGAACATTTATTTTAACAAAAGGACACTCTGCATTAACTCTGTATGAACAACATATCACAGCTCAGTCTTGAGATAACACCATAATTAAGCTGTGTGCAGAATAAGCAAGTACAGTGATGTCTGGAGAACCACTCCTTTCTCTTGGGTTTCACATTCTTGAAGGTTCGAAGTCTCTCTCTTCCAGCAAGTTTATTAGAAGGGAGAAGCTGTCTTTTACTGCCTCCATATCATCCAAGGAACAGGGTTTAAGAATCCAACGTTTTCCACGTGCAAGCGGCTCAAGTTCAAAATATTTTTTTATCTATTGAGGAAAAAAAAAAAAAAAGAGACCACTGTATTAATATTGTAATGAAAACTCTCTCACCTCTAAAAAACCAAACTAAACAAACACCCCCTCACACACAAAAAGATCAGGATATTAATTTTTAGAATCTTACCCACATCTGCTCTTATAATACAGGTTATGTGACACGACCTGAAAGTGTTTTCTTTAGGGGTGAGTGAACTGCTTGGAAGCTACCATTTTACCCATACGTTTAACAGCATGGGAGGTCTGAGAAAGAATTTTAGTGTCTTAAGGCAAAGAGAAAAGCGCGTGAAACATTTGCGCAAAAACATATCCAAACTAGTAAAAGTAACTAAGAAATTTTAGCTAATGTTCGTACTTTAATGTTAACTCTGAATGTTCCATTTTACTCTTACTGGGAAACACTTAAGATGCAGAATTTGTCACCAGACTACTCTAACTTCACAAATCACCCATCAAAAAGGTACAAATTCTAAATATTCCAGCCAAATGTGAGCTATAGCACAGCATCTCTTAGTGACCTGGAGAACCCTACAAAAATAAAAATAAAAATTAAAAAAAAACTTCTTCAAAAATTGGTTAGTCTTTCTAAAATTAAACATAAAAGACTAGCCCACTAATGTTAGTAGGATAGTAATAAATATTATACGTGACACCGGATGCAGTTTTTTGGAAAGACCAATGACTAGTAACATTTGTTGCACCAATTTTCAAGGCAGAAACACAGACTCACAGAAAGGCTGAGAAAGGAATGATTTTAGTTTAGTAATATATACCAATCACTTTTCAAAATACCAAGTAAAATATCAAAAAATGGCTTTTATATTTCTTAGGAGAAGACAGTAGTCTGCAGATTATACTGATCCACAGTTTACTCTTCTCATCAAAATTTTAGTTTTTGCAAGTAATTAATCCAAAAGTCTACTCACGTTTGACTTGTCCAAATAGACATTTAGTTTTTACATCTAAAACCATATCCATCAGTGCCTACTCCTGTCTGCACACTCTTGTTCATTGTAATTATTCCCAAATATTCTTAATTTTCTTTTATCACAGACTGTGCAACAAATATGCATCATAATAAGAGGAGCAGTTATTCATAACCTAGTAGCCAGTAGAGGCCCTAGACAGGCCACACTGTGTAAGGCTCCATGTGCAGTAGGAATAAAAAAGAGAAAAGAAAGACACTCTTCCAAAATCCATACAAGCTGCTTCTCTATGTAGCTCTTACAGTGTCTATACAGTTTTGTTTATCAAAGTAATCCAATGGAAGAGACCAACTAGAGTTGTATCAACTTACATAATTTAGAATTGAACCATGACTATGTGGTAGGAAGACTTTCTTATTTTTAAGAAAGAAATTTCGACCATGTGTTTAGTAACAAATATCAGGGGAAAAAATGGGTTTTGAGATGGAATTTCTGTTTACCCAACTAGGATACAGGTGAAAAATTTTGGAATCTTTTCCATAAAAGTAGAATTGTATCAATAACTTTTGAAAATGCAGTGTAGTACTAGACATCCACTTCCCCTCAAATTTTCAGATATACAACTTGAAAGAAACAGGACTTCAACAAACAGTATTTTAATATCAGCATATCTACTTTTTAGAGTTGTTATTTCAGTGCCTCATCAATACCTTATATGTTGGCTTGGTTATATGAGATAAAACCCAAAATACTAATCTCTATAAGGGATGTATTACTATGTTTCCTGAAATTGAAGTGACACCAAATTGAATTTACTCAGTTAATGGCACTGATCACAGTACTTGAGGAGCAGGGTAAGAAAGCTCTCTTGCCTGTTTCAGCAACAGCCTCCTTGACTGTCACTTAAGGGGAGGAAGTAAAAGCTGTACAGACGGACAACAAAGCAAGATATCAGTGCAGTTGGTGGGCAGAGTAGCCCACTGGTTTTAAACTGACAAATATGGCTGAGTAATTAGTGATGTTTCAGACCGATAGCCCAGAGGATGTCCACCACACCCCCTCTACTGGAAGACTATTACCATCAGCCCCTTGAGTTCATTGGTCTGTCTACAATCTTCTTTACACAGCCTCTTGAATTAAGGCTACACCATATGAAGGATGGTCATTACATTGTAGGGACAATAGTTGGGTTTAAAACTAGACACACATGAACAAGGAACTGGTGGCAGTAAGCAGACTAGCAATGAGTCTTGTGCCTTTGTGGGCAAATACAATACAGGTTACTAAGGTACCCTCTAGCCAAGAAAAATACAATGCTCTCAAGCTATATTCCAGTGACTGCAGATGCCAACAGCACCAATTTAGTGAAACAAATTTTGCATATAAATTATTTATTTGGATGCCCAATGTTGATTAAAATGTATTTTTTCTATTTCTAGCTGTGCAATCGAAATGTAACTAAATCAGTGAGGTGCTGTCATCATTTTCCACATCTGAAGAATAGCTCAGAGTATCTACATAAGAGGCCCTAGATGAATGCCAAAATTAAAGTGTTTGTTAAGCAGTGGCTTTTGAAATGGGAAGTTTTAATGCTGGCATAGAAGCACAATCGCTTATATTCACACAAGTAACAGCTTCATACCTTCTACAGAGAAAAAAAAGATCTGCTAGATGACTCATGTCTAATACAAATCAAGAAAAATAACATTAATTGGCTTACAAATAAATAACTAAACCAGAAGTAGCACAGAAGTGATTTTCCACAACCCAAGGGACACTTTGTGGTGTGTTACTATATTTCCTCATTTAAACTTCACACCGCAATGGAGTTTGCTAAATCTCAGGGTTTTGCAAGTGGGCTCTATGAACTTTGAAACTTCCAGAAAGAAGTTTTCAGGCACAAATATTTTCTAGTTTATTATAGCTTCTCCTCCTCTCAACTCAGGGGAAGTCATTCAGTTTTTAAAACAATCCTTTTTTTAAGACTTAACTAAAGAACCATTTTTTTACAAGCAAAAGATGAAATAACTACACGAAAACAGACTGGCACAGATGCCCAACACTTTTTATACAGCTGAGTTTTCCACTGGCATGCTCTCAGCTTTCCATCTGTGTTTGTTTCTGTAGTTGCTTTCTGCCTCGATGGCCATCATTTACACTCACTACCTGCAGATTTCCTAAGAGGATGTATACTAATCACCAAAGTATCCAAAGGAAGCTGAAATTTTCTGAATACTCACTCATCTAGGTAGCTCTTGCATTATCAGCAGTTGCTATTTTACAGCTCCCTTCAGTCAATCTACTACAAAAGGGGTGAGTTCCTCAGAGAAACTCTTCTGCCTTCCCTCTGCATAAATGGTGAAAAGCTTTCTGCCTGTTCATGGATGCCGGAGCAAAGTACTTGAAAGTACTTCAGAAGTCTGACACATTAGATGTGCATTTATATACTGGCTTTACATTTTCAAGAGTTTATTTTGAAAATGCTAAATTTTTAAGATATACTCTTGGAGGAAAACATAATCAATTAAGCCTACATAATTTTAAGACTTCTTTACTACTATTTTACAGAATCTCACTGTATGTCTTGACTCCACATGGGGGCCTTGTTTTATAGAGAAGCTGACAATGTATTTATGACACATTCTGAAGTCAATAAAACCTAACAATACATGTTTGCAATTCCCACTCTTCCCGTACTTCACCGTTTAAGTCCTGTTCTGCTGGCATAATACATTAAACATATGGTTATCAAATGTTGCTTAACCTACACACTGGAAAAGTCAAGACACAATAAAAGGATCGGTGCCCAGAACCTCAGCTGGTGTAAATTACCATAGCAGCATGGAACTGATGTTACTAAACTGATATACGTAAGCTGAGTAACTAGGCCCTGCTGAAACCTTTTCTATGTTCTATTACTGAACCTCATCATCTAGTCAGTTCACCACACACATGAACATAAGATGTATAGGAAAACTTAGATACTGTATTATGCAAAACCCAAGTAATTTCTACTATTCAACATGGAAAACAAAAACAAACAAACAAACAAACAAAAAAACCAAGAAAAAAAGAATGATTGAAAGCATTATTTTTCATTCAAATCCAAAATTTTACTACCAAATTTCATCAAAACAAATAGGCTTCCAGCCCACTGTGATTAATCTGTTCTAAACAAATAAAAAATTCAGATAGACACTTACATTACCAGGCCGGTAATTAGAAAACTTAATGGATAAAATATTTCTTCATTCATTGCTGTTTAATGAACAATTTAGTGGGGACAAAAAATTGTAACAAAATGTACATCATATCCAGTCAAAGGCTTGGTCTCGTCAGTGCCCAAACTACTCTGAATTTTTGAAAGACTTTTACAGGACTAACCAAATACTACTGGTGGGGGTATGAATTCAACTAAAATAATCTAATTTGCTGCATCCATGTATTAACTGCAAGAAATGGTTAATTCATCTATCCCTAATCTGCATGGACAAGAAATGAAATAAAAATGAGAGATCAGAGCTTCCCATATCCACACTCTGAAAGTTTCATTGAATTGTGATGCTGAGATTACCTTTTCAGACATCATAAAAATCTTCCTTTTGGAGCAACCGTTTAGAAGATGCAGGAAAAAGAGCCAATTTTAATTGCCAACTCCATGAACAACAGACAATTCATGTGCAAATTCAATGTCTTTGGAGAAGAGAAGCCGAAAGTCCATCACATAGCATTAAGTTTTAAAAAGGGAAACTACATAAAATGAGGAACTTAAAGAAAATTAACTGGGCAGCTAAAAAGGTAAAATGCTTGCAGGTGCCACAGAAAAAATACCATAATTAGAGGCTCAGAGTATATTTATACTGTTACAGAAGATTTTAAAATAAACAGAAAAGCTTTGAACAGTTGCAGTAAGGAAAAGGATGGTATTAGAGGTAAAAGAAGTCATGTCTAAAAGAAGAAAACAGAAAAAAAAAAAGAAAGAAAAAAAGGAAATTCTGGCAAATTAAATAGAAACCACAAATGTTGACCAAGTAACCACGGAGTAGAACTCATTGCTTAAATCAC